TGTTCTCGAGGGTCTGGATATTGCCCTGAGTGAGTGTTGTGGTTACTTCAGGCTGAATCTCCATTGTGCTTTCCAGGCCAGGGCATATTTTTCTAGCTAATAGAATCCACTGGTTTTCACTTACCTCTGAGCCCTAAACTTTTGCCACTGTGTCTGTCCACATGGCCAGCCTTCCCTGGCTTCTATCAGCATGGAGCCTCTCCCATCATACTTCCACACTCTGCAGAGCAGTTGGCCATCACTGAACTTGTCACAGCTCTGTAGCACAGATTGGATCCCCTTTGGGGCTGGTAGGCTCCTGGAAACAGAAACACTAGAGACCTGTAGGTATAGGGGGCCATGTGGAGAAGGCATTTTGTTGTGAAGACACTTAAAACAGTGTCAGCATCCTTACCTGTCTTCCTTGACCTTAATAAATCCAGCACGTTTGTCCAACAAGCCATTCTCTCTCTTCCCCTCAGTTTCCAGCAAGGGTCTCAGGAGCTGTTAAGTGAGTCCTGGTGTTTGGAGTCCTAGACAGTAAGTGTAATAGTCCCAGTTGCTGTCTATTGAGATCACGAGGTATAGAAATGCTGTTCACTAGGTATATTATATATTAATTTCGTTCATCTATTAAATGCACATTTATGGATTACTATGTAACAGGAACAGCAAACAAGACCAATTTGGAATCTGTATTAGGGAAGGGAGATGGTATTTAAATGTGTTTATTTATTTATTTTATGTATATAAGTGTTTTGCCTGCATGTATGTAAGTGTACTTGTGTGTGCAATGCTCACAGAGGCCAGAGGAGGTCATTGGAGCCCCCAGAACTGGAGTTATGGACTGTTGTTAACCACTGTGTGGGTGCTGGGAAATGAACCCAGGTACTCTGCAGGAGTAGCCAGTGCTCTTAACCACTGAGCCATCTCTCCAGCCCCAAGGGAGATTGTTTATTTGTTTGTTTGTTTGTTATTTAGGTGTTTTTGAAACTGGGTCTCCCTGTAGCCCCAGCTGGCCTGGAACTTGCTATGTAATCCAGGTTGACCTTGAACTCACAGAGATCCACCTGCTCTGCTGGGATTAAAGGCATGTGCCACCATGCCTGGCTGAGATAATATTCTTATTTTAAGAAGAAAAAAGATGGTGAGTTGGGGATATAGCTCAGTGGTATAGTCCTTGCATGGCATGCATGAGTCCCTAGGTTCTATCTCTAGGCTGAAGAAACAAAAATGGAGCAAGGATTCAAACCCAGATCCCTGACTCCAGATCCCATGCATCTGTCTCCTGTGTGGTGTTGTCTAATACCACTATGGCGTGAGTCGTTGCACACTGCCATCAGTTGTCACCAGCACATACCGCTTTGGATCATCACGTTTTACGCATCTGCCTTCTCTTTCCATCTTGCTTCTGGCACTGCCAGAGCAGAAATTACAAGTTCTGCCTTTTGAATCCCCAGGAAAACACCAACAGACTGTAATTCTGACTAAAATCTGAATTTGTGTTAACATCTTAAGTGGTGATGGGACAGTTAATTATTTTTTCTTTTGTAAGCCTTAGGAATCATAATTGCTTATTTCTTTTTAAAATATTTTATTTATTATTTTTATTTTATGTGTATGAGTGTATTGACTGCATGTGTATGTGTATACCTGTCATGTAGTGTCCATGGAACTTAGAAGAGGGCATTGGGCCAGGCCTGGTGGCACTGGTGCCTTTAGTCCCAGTACTCAGGAAGTAGAGGCAGGTGGATCTCTATGAGTTCCAGGCCAGCTGGGGCTACAGGGAAAGCCTGTTTCAAAAAGATTAAAAAAAAAAAAAAAAAGATGAAGGCATTGGATCCCCTGGAACTGGAGTTACGGATGGTTGTTAGCCACCGTGTGAACCAGATCCTCTGCAAGAGCAGCCAGTGCTCTTAACTACTGAGCCATCTCTCCAGCCCCCTAGTCGTTTATTTCTTTATAGTATTTCTTTACATATTTATTTATGTATATGTGTGTTCATGTGTTTGCCACAGCATGTGTAGAAGTCAGAGGACAACTTGCAGGAGTGGGTTCTCTCCTCCCACCATGTGAGTCCCAGGGATTGAACTGAGGTTCTTCAGCTTGGTAGCACATGCCTTTGCCCACTGAGCCATCTCGCTGGCCCTGCCCTACTTTTCTCATATGGGTTCTGGGGATTGATCAAACTTGGGTTCTTGCAAGGGAAGTATTTACCACCTGAGCCATGCCCACCATAATGGTTTATTTCAATGAGGAATTCTGCTTTGATAGCCATGGAAAATGTGCTTGAAAAATAAAGTGCATTTTTACAAGTTTGTAATTTCTACTGTATAGCATAATGTGTATGCCAATGATATAATTGAGGGAGATGTCTTTATAGAAACAACTCTTTATCTTTGGAGTAGAAAGTTATAGGTACAAGATGAATGTGGCTGCTAATTATTCATCCATCCTGTGACCCTTAACTGGAGTTTCACAGTTACTATATAGACAGATCTATGTCTGTCTATCTTTAAAAATTTTTTTTACTTATTAGTTTTATTTTATGTGTATGCATGTATTGCCTGCATGTATGTAAGTGCACCTGTGTTGTGCAGTGCCCACAGAAGACAGAAGAGGCCGTTGGGTCCCCTGGAACTGGCGTTACAGACAGTTGTTATCTGTCATGTGGGTGCTGGGATTTGAACCTGTGTCTTCTGCAAGAACAGCAGTGTTCTTAACCGCTGAACCATCTCTCCAGCCCTCTGTCTGTCTATCCGTCTGTCCATCCATCCACCATCCATCCATCCATCCATCTATATTTTTTTTTTCAGAAAATGTGCCCCATTAGCTTAGTCCATGCCTGTTTACTAATCTCAACATATTTGAACCTTGAGTTAAGTTGTGCTATATTTTTTATTTTTTGTTTTGTTTTGAGCTGTAACCCCAGCTGGCCTGGAACTCATTATATAGACCAGACTGGCCTGGATCTCAGGGAAATCTTCCTGCATCTGCCTCCTGAGTGCTGGGATTAAAGGTGTGTGCCTCCGCATCCAGCCTCCTGTGCTCAATCTTCACTGGTGGAAGGCTGTTTTATATTTCAAAGCACACATAGTTGTCATTCTCATATATGAGCTTAAAAATATTTTCTTTCTACTTAAGTTTTAGTACCTTTGTGGTGCTAACTAATCTAAAAATCATATCTGGAGGGGTAAAGCCCACATGTATGTTCTAGGCCAGAGCTATCTGTGGTCATAGAAATGTCCTGCTCCATCCTCTATGGAGCCTTTGTCTTGTGGGGCTTTGGAGCTCGTTTTGGGTGGCTGTTACAGCTGAGAAATGGAAGCTTAATTTCATCAGATTGAAGTTTAAGTAACTACACATGGCTAGTGGCGACCGTATTGGACAGTGCATTTCTAAACCGGGTACAAAACTTAGATCCATCTGTTTATAAATCCATTCATTAGGCAACAGATATTTATTGAATCATTTTCTGCCAACATTGTTTTAGAAGCTGGGGAAGCAGTTTTAACCAAAACAGCTTCTGACCCAAGGAGAGCCACTTAAACAGGACATGTGCTCCAGAGACTATACCCAGTTCATGATGGCTTCACCCCTCAACTCTGCATAGTGTGTCAGGCCCAGAATTAGCAAAAACTCAAGGACTTGTGGTGTTATTAGTTTTCAAATAGGCATTGCACAGATGAGGAGATAGCTCAGTCAGGAAGTACCTGCCTATCATACAAGTATGAGGACCTGAATTGGATCCTAGAACCATGTAAAAAAGCTGGGCATGCTGGCTTATAGTCCCAGCACTGGGGAAGCAGAGACAGGTGAGTCCTTGGGGCTCGCTGTCCAGCAGGTCTAGCCTAATCAGTGAGTTCCAGGCCAGTGAGAAACCCTGTCTCAAGAAAACAAGGTAGACATTCCCCAAGGAATGACACTCAAGGTTGACCTGTGGCCTCCACACACATGCATACACTCATACACACACCAAAAAATGCCCAAAAATAGTTGCAAAAAATCACTCTGCATGGATGACAAAAGCAGGGGAAATTCAGGCTATTTATTTATTTGGTTGTTTTGGTCTTTTTTTTTTTTTTTTGGTTTTTTTTGTTTTTTTTTTTTTTTTTTGGTCTTTTTTTGAGACAGGGTCTCCCTGTAGCCCCAGCTGTCCTGGAACTTGCTATGTAGACCAGGCTGGCCTTGAACTCGCAGAGATCCGCCTGCCTGCCTCTGCCTCTGGAGTGCTCGGATCAAAGGCATGCGCCACCATGCCTGGCTGTTTTGGTCTTTTTGAGACAAGGTCTCCCTGTAGATCTGCCTGCCTCTGCCTCCCATGTGCTGGGATCAAAGGCATGCTCCTCCACACCCTGCTTATTTGTTATTTTATTTAATTTTATTTTGGTTTTTTTGAGACAGGATCAGACCAGAGATCTTGTGCGCCACCATGCCTGGCTACATAATCTTTTCCCTCATGAAATTACTCCAGGGACTGGGAATGCAGCTCAACGGGAGAGGACTTACCTAGCATGTGTGAGGTCCTAGGTTGCATTCCCAGTGATGCATAAGGGCAGAAGGGAGAAGGAGCTAAAGTGAAATTACTCCTGTTTTCACCAGGGGTAAAAAACTAGCCATAATGAAGCCACCATTTATTTCACACTCGCAAAATGCTCCTTCATGTGTTCTGTCTGATTAAATGTGTATAACCACTTTATTTAGATGTGTGTTGTTATTGCCATTTTACAGAGGAGGAAACTAAAATTTAAAGGACTTAAACAACTTGCCCAGGGTGGCACTGCTGGTTAGTAGTTGAATTAGGATTTAAACCCAAATCTTTTGGACTCTAAAACCCAGTGATCCTTCTCATTCCACCATGCTGTCTCTCCAAGAAAATCAAAGTGATTTTTAAAAAAAGATAGCTTCAGTGTTTGTGACTGGCCACTTGTATATAATACATCTAAGGTCTGGTGACTCGGAATGAGAGCCAAGAACAGTAACTAAGAACTCCTTACCTTGTGTTTGTCTCTCTGGTTCAGGATCAAAGTGAAGGGTCCAAAGGCTGGAGCAATTCCTTGAAGGCAGCCGCTTGGGGCCTGTGCTCCTTTCTCAGAGACTGATCCCAAGCCACCCTTGGAAAGGAGCTCACTGAAAAGCCTCTGCAGCCTCATGTTGAAGGCAAGAGTGAACATGCTCAGCTCAAACATTATCATCAGTGGCCCGGCTGCAGACCTTGGATCTAAAGAGGCCAGCAGGCCCTTGAGGAAGCAGCTTGGCAGCATCCAGAACCCTGGCCCGTCTACCCGAGCCAGAGCCCGGCCCCAGCCCCTCAGCATAAAGGACAAGATATCCAAGTGGGAAAACAAGAGGGAGCCACCCTCTCCTGCACCTGCCAGGCCAACAGATGGCCAAAAGGACTACCTGCCAGCCTGCGGGATGGAGAGGAGAGGCAGCGAGGTCACGAGCACAAAGAGTGGAATGAGCCTCGAAACAGAGAGCTTGGAAAATGACAGAGAGACAGCAAGAGCCAGGTGTCAGAGCACAGAGCCTCAGCCAGACCTGAGTCAGGCCGATGGGCAGCCAGAGCCTGGCCAGCACCAAGGCCGTGAGCTGAAGCCCAGCAAACTGCGCTTTCAGGGTGACCACCTCATAGTCCTGAAGCAGGTCAAAAGACTAGAGCAGGCCTTGAAGGACGGCTCAGCGGGCTTGGGGCTCCAGTTGCCAGGGACTTGTTATTCTCCCCACTGCCTGCCTGACAAGGCAGAAGAGGGCCACCCCATTCTTGAGAGCCATGTAGGTAGGGATGGCTCAGAAGCCAGCCGGAGGGGCCACCACCTGGACTTGGAGGGCAGGGGGTCAGGCTCTGAGGCTTCAGAGGAGTGGAAAGGCCTGGAGAATGTGTACAAGGGCTGTGAGGGGTCCTTCCCAAAGCCTTTCATCAATCCCCTGCCCAAGCCACGGAGAACGTTCAAACATGCCGGAGAAGGGGACAAGGATGGAAACCCAGGCATCAGCTTCAAGGAGAGAAGAAACCTGCCTCCCCTGCCTTCCCTGCCACCCCCACCCCCACCACTGCCCTCCTCCCCGCCTCCCACCTCCGTGAATAGAAGACTGTGGACTGGGAGGCAGAGAGCCAATGCTGACCACAGGTAGGTGCCCACACCTGCAGCAGCTGACCAGGTGACTCTGCTGGTGCCTTTGTCCTCTTCTTGACCTAATGGTTTGTCACATTCAACTGAGGGCTTCTGGAGTCCAGTGTTCATAGTGTAAGGCAGCTTGTTGACTAACCTGGAAATGGGATAACTCATGTGTTTTGTGTTCGTTCTCAAAAAAGAATATTAGCTTTAAAAATGTGTCCCCTGGGGCTCGAAAGATGGCACAGTGGTTAAGAATACTTGCTGTTCTTCCAGAGAATCCAGGTTTGATTCCTAGCATCTACATGTTGGCTAGCAACTGTCTGTAACTCCAGTTCCAGGGGATCCAAAACCCTCTTCTGGCCTTTGTGGGCTTTGCATGACAGAGGTGTACTTATATACAGGCAAAAACTCATACATATAAAAGAGAAATAATAAAATATATATTTTTAAATGCCCCCTGGGAACTAGAGAGCTGTCTCAGGGGTTAAGAGCACTTACTGTTCTTCCAGAGTCCCCAGGTTTGGTTCGTAGCACCCACATGGTAACTAACACATGTCCTTTATTCCAGTTCTAGGGGATCCAACACCCTCTTCTGGCATCCACAAGCACCAGGTATGCATGTGGTACACTTCCATACATGCAGGCAAACACAAACGTAAAATAAAAATAAATAATTTTTTTTTATTGCCCTCTGGAGACAGGTATAGTTAATACAAACATATAATCTCAGTTCTCAAGAGTTTGAGGCAGGAGAATGAGTTGAAGGCCAGCCTAGGTTACATAGCAAGTTCCAGACCAGCCTGGGCAACCTGGTGAGGTCCTGTCTCAAAAAAAAAAAAAAAACAAAAAAAAAACCAAACTGAATTATCCTTCCAGTGTGATAAAGAACAATAACCAAGAATTCAGTGAAGGACTTATGTGAAACTAGTAGTTTACTAACTGGTAGTTCTGATAACTGCTGGTGTGTGCATCTTGTGTGTGTGTGTGTGTGTGTGTGTGTGTGTGTGTATGCATGGGTGTGAAGGCCAGAGGTTGACATCAGGTGTCTTCCCCAACCTTTCTCTACTTTATGTACTGAGAGAGGTCCTTCACTGAGGTCCTTCACTGAACCCACAGCTGGAAGATTCTGCTAGTCTAGCTAGCCATCTTGATCCAGGGATCCCATCTCTGCCTGTAGAGTACTGGAATTGCAGGTGGACTGCCATGCCCACACAGCTTTTATGTAGGTGCTAGGGATCCAAACTCTGTTCTTCATGCTTACATGGCAAGTACTTTATTTACTAAGCCATTTCCCCAGCACTCTGGCTTGCTTTTGCCGATTTTTCTTGGTACAGGCTCTGGAACACATTGCTTGGGTCTGCCTTGCCCTGTCACATTGTGATCTTGAGCATCTTACTTGGCCTCTTTGGAGTTTCAGCTTCCTTGTTCATACATGTAGACGCATACACAGCAAATATTTGATAGCATTAAAGTTAAGGAGCTAGGAAAATGGCTCAGTAAATGGAGTGTTCTGCTGCGCCAGCATGTGAACCTGAGTTCAGATCCCCAGCACATAAAAAACTGGGTGTGGCAGCCATGGTGCTGCATGCCTGATCCCAGCGCTTGGGAGGCAGAGGCAAATGGATCTCCATGTGTTTGAGGCCAGCCTGGTCTACATAGCAAGTTCCAGGCCAGCTAGAGCTTCAGGGAGACCCTGTCTCAAAAATGACCCCCCCCCCAAAAAAGTATTTTTTATTTTATGTGTATGAGTGTATTGCCTGCATGTATGTAAGTGCACCTGTGTTGTGCAGTGCCTGCAGAGATCAAAAGAAGGTGTCAGATCCCCTGGAACTGGAGTTAGGACAGTTGTTAGCTGCCATGTGGGTGCTAGGAACTAAACCCCAGTCCTCTGGAAGAGCAGTCAGTGCTCTAACCATTGAGCCATCTCTCCAGCCACCACCACCCCACCCTTTTTGGGCTAGGGTCTTACTCTATAGATTAGGTTGCCATGGAATTCTTTATGTATCCCAGGCTAGTTTTGAACTCCTGCCTTAGCCCCCCAAGTGGTAAGATTACAGGTGTAAGCCACCACACCTGATTTACTGTATTCTTCACTTACTTGACTCCTAACTTCTTGGCGTCCTCCACATGGGCTTTGGCCATTCATTCTTTGCCCAAAACAAAGTTGGATTGCCAATTTTCTGTCACTCTCTTAGTAGACCTCTCGGTGTTGAGGAGATAGCTGTTGCCTCACCTCATCTTGAAACATTGCCTCCCTTGGCTTCAGGGTTGAGCACTTCCAGGTGAGTCCTCCTGGGCTGCTCTTACTTCCTCCTTGCATGTTAAGATGACCCCTAACTGAACCCATTCCCACCCCAGCCAGGCTCAGACCAGGGACTTCTGTCTCCTTCCTACATTATTCCCTAGATGATTTCTTCCAGTCCGTGCGTCAGTTGCCTGTGTAGGACTCCCCGGTTGAGACCTCCCAGCCTCCAATGTATGTAGTCGTTTCCTGCTTGAATCTTCATTTGGTTGTTTCTCCAGCTTACCACTAATGATCTCTCACATCCTCACCATCTTATTAAATGGCATTTCTCTTCATTTAGTTACTTAGACTAAAGAGTTAAACGTCCTTCCTGATTTTCTCTTTTTCATATGCCCCTGACTGATTTATCAGCAAGTCCTTTGGTCTACTTTTAAAACTTGATCTTGAATCAGATTGTTATCACTTTGTATCCACTACCTACCCCTGAGTGCTCCTCCTCCCGCAGCCAGAAGTATCCTCCAAAAATATACATTAGATCATATCACTCGCCCACTCAGTGTCATCTGTCAGGTAGGGTTCTTTAGGTTTCAATAACTTAATTTTTCCTATACTCCAAGAGGGAAATAGTTTGTTTGTTCTAACATTATTTTCTTTTGAAAATGAAATCTGCCTGGGCTGATGACACAAAACTATAATCCTAGCTACTCAAGAGACTGAGGCAGGAAATGGCAGGTTCAAGGCCATCCCAGTCTGTACAGTAAGTTCAAGGTCAACCTGGGCAATTTACTGTCTCAAAAAGTAAAAAGAGGGGGCCTAGAGCGATAGCTCAGTAGTTAAGAGCACTGACTGCTCTTGCAGAGGACCTGGGAAACCGACGCCGTCTTCTGACCGCCACAGGCATTGCACAACACAGGCACACTTAAACACACATGCAAGCAATACACTCATAAACATAAAAAAAGTTTTTAAATGGGGCTGGGTGTGGTCATGCACACCTCTAATCCCAGCACTTGGGAGGCAGAGGCAGGCGGATCTCTGTGAATTTAAGGCCAGCCTGGTCTACATAGTGAGTTCCAGGACAGCTGGGGCCACAGGGAGACCCTGTCTCAAAAATCAAAAAAAAAAAACAAAACACATTGCACAACACGGGTGCACTTACCTACATGCAGACAGTACACGCATACACATAAAATAAAAATAATAAATAAATTTTTTTTAAAAAAAGTAAAAAGAGAACTAGGACTAGGTAGCAAACTTAGTGTTTGAGGTGCTAGGTTCAGTCACCAGTACCACAAAAATAATGTCACACTCTACACACACACAAACATTATTCTTTACTTAGCATTATCACTGAGACCTTTTACTATTACCACCATCTTTATAGGATGTGGATAAGCATGTTTTATTTAGCCATTCCCCAGTTGATGGACACTTAGGTTGTTCGTGGTTCAAAAGTCATGCTGTGATGTGCTGTATGTAGCATTAGAGAAGCCTCTAGAACCAGAGTACTTATTCATTGTGCTACTTAATACCTGTGTGACATTGGACAAACCACTAAGTTTATGTTGGCCTCATTTTACTTAAAATGGGGGTGACTATAGAAACCACATCATAGCGTTGCTCTGGAGTTCGAGGTTCTCTACCTTCCATACCCCTTTTGGGCTTGTCTTCTAGAGAGGCCACTCCCTGGGGCAAGTTCTTTCTGAAAAACTGAAATCTTTCATTTGTGTTGTGGTTGTTAGAGGTGAATCGTTACCCGGTTATCTTTTGTTCTTAGCTATAATCTGCTGTTTTTAGCCTTCTAGTGTTTTCTTTATTACCAGCTAAAGTTACTTAGCTTCAGTCCAAAAATGAAATTTTTCTTGGCTAGTTTGAATATGGTCACATCAGCTGGTTTTAAGAATTTTGGCTTTTGATTTCTCATTTTGTTTAAAATACTACAGTGGAGGTGATTAGGGCAAGTTGTTCACTTTCTGCATTACAAAAAATAAAATATTCTCTTTGCTATGATTCTATCTTGTAGAGAAAGAAAAATGGCTTATCTTTATGTTTGGCATGCTTCCTGCCCTCTCTGAGTCTCAAAGCTAAGCCAAGGCTGAAGAAAAAACTGATGGCGGACTCTGAGGTCATGAGGGGCTGGGATTACACAGCCGGGCTGGGAGCTTAGAGTGCACTCCCGCGTTTGCGTTGGCCAGTCAGCACGTTCAGCAAGAGCCATGCCAGTGGGTTCTGGTTCTCAGTTTGAGGGAATGTCTTCTTCCGGGTCATCTTCCTTTCTCCTGCCCTCTTTCTTCCTTTTCTTCATTTCTCTCTAACGCCAGGAAATTAAATGCAAGCACTTAGGCCCTCAGTTCCAAAATGGAAAATGAAAACCCTTCACATGCAGGAAATTCCAAAGATAAGCTTCCTACAACATGAACTTGGCTATGTATGTTTTATGGCATACATTTAATAACTGGCAGGAAGCTTCCAGACCAACATGAAACAAGAAAAGTTATGTTTTTTTTTTTAACTTATTGGTTTTTTTGTTTTTTTTTTTTAAGCATCCTGCATTCACAAGTGTCTGCAATACTTTAACCTGAATTCAGACTTTTAAATTTTAGCTTCATTTGGTCATGTGACAGTTTTTAGATATTTGTGAAACCACATAGCTCCACAGACTGTGATTTCAACTTTTCAGCTGATAGTTTTGGCACCATATAGATTTGGCTTTTTCTTGGGGCTGAAGCCCCTTCAGCGTCAGACTTTTGTTTTGGAATTCTCTAAG